TACCTAAACCCCAACGTCTGTTAGAACAAGAAGCCAGAGTAGGGAGAGCGAACAGAAAATGTGAGGAGAACATTCGTTCAGGAAAATTAAGAGTTCCGCAGGGCGCCACAGAGCGACGTTCGGATAATACATGCTATATAATTTTGAATGCATCATAGGAGTGTTGTTGGGAGAATTGGGGAGGTGTTACGCAGAGAACAGCGGAACATGCATACATACATACCTCTTTGCTGTGGACGTGGTGAGAGAGAAGAAGGAAACAAAAAGACGTCGTGCGGCGAAAACAGGTGAGTTCGCGCTGCATTTTTTAGCGTGTGCGCACGGACCTAAAGTCTTGGACCATCGCGACTTGCCGTCATGATATGATGAATGGTGAAGTTGGGTGAGGGTGAGCGAGATTGGCATTGGTGATGGGGGGTAGGTAATGCGGTAGAGAGATGGGTGTAGAGAGATGGGTGTGCTTGGAAGAATGATTGGACAGAGGAAGGGGTGGTGGTGGGGCAACATGGTGCAGTCTGGTACAAGATAGGGTGAGGTTGGGTAGATGATGCTCTCTGTCTATGGACAGTGCCTATCGATGTTACATGTGCACATACTACTGGAAGCTTGCTATAGGCAGAATGGGAGAGGCTGTCTAGGCATTCCTAGATGCTGCATGCATAGTTAGTTAGATGCCTATTGTAGTAGCTACGTAGGCGAGCGGCCAGCAGACGGCACATGCAAAGTCGACAGCCTGTGCAGCGGTCGGGATGCAGGTTCAAACGTTGCACGGGCAGACTAGGCTGCTTGTGGCATCAAGCACCAAGGAGAACATGGGTCTTGTCGAGTCTGCACATTGTTGATTGGGAAAACAGAGCGAGTTTTCTCTGCCAGGCTGCACAACCAATCATCACTCCGTCCTCGCTTTTCCCGTCTTCTCTCTTTTTCTTTTTTCTTTCTTCTTTTTTCTTCTTTTCTCTCTCTCATTGGGTGAAACAAAAGTGAGAAAGAGAGAGAATGTATGTGTGGGGGGTGGAAGAGCAGGATGGAGGAGAGCGAGGTGGGATCTTCCCATGTACTGTAGGTAGTATTTGCCAACTTTATATTTTGCTTGCTTGTTCTGTCTCTCCACATGTATGGTACCTTGCATGTGCTATACTATGATGATAAGGGATCGACTATAGCTCTTGTGTAGAGTAGGTACTCTGTAGGTACTCCTAGTTGATTCCATTCATGGCCAGCAGCTCAAAGGACCCGGCAGAGGCTAGGTGAGTGAGCCTAAAGGGTAGCGTCAACCCCTGCCCGCACACCCTTGGCCTTGCCGCCTTCCGCACGCCGAAGCAGCCAACGAGCAGACTAGAATAGGATTAACGGGCCTGGACATGGACTTGCACTCGCATCTCCTTTTTTTATGTCCTGTGCTTGTATAATCCTGTACACACCATCCCAAGCCCATACAAGTCCACACAAATCCACAAGTGTCTACAAGTCCACAAGTCCACAAGTCCACAAGCCCACAAGTCCCACTCCCCGCGAAGTTCAAACCCTCCCGCTGTGTCTACCGCCGCCGCCCAAAAAAAAAAGACCCTGACGTCCTGACTCTTTCCCTCCCACCCTCTCTCACTCACCCTCTCTCTTTCTCTCTCTCTCTCTCTCTCTCTCTCTCTCTCTCTCGCTCACTCTGACTACATACATATACCCAAATTCTTACGGCTGCTGCACACCAACACGTTCACCCCCACCACAACCGCCCAATCGCCCCAGCAAGTCTTCGTCGTCGTCGTCGATACGGTTCGACAGTGCCCCCCTCCCCACCCTCCTTCACCCCATACTTAGGTATCTATCCGCTCCCACTCCCCCCCCCCCCTCCCCCGCCAAGCCAGCCTCACTGGCTCACAGCCAAACGGCGGCACCGTGTGGTCCCCCACTGCACGCACCCTCGCACCCGACCTGTCCACACGCGCGTGCTCCTGCTGTCCTGCTTGTCCCTGGCTCGCCTGTCTCTGCCTGGTCCCCCCCAGCACACCCTTTCACCCTCTGCGACAACATCGGCACTTCCACTTTCCGTCGCCCTCCTGCTTGCATCCACGACGGTGTCCCCCCACCACCCCCCTCACCCCCTCCCCCTTTGCGAGTGCTGGTGAGGCTTGCTACAAGTGCGACGGAATGTGCGCGGCGCCTGTGCCCTAGAGCCGAACACCATTCAGGCCATCGGCGTCGACCGCGCGCCCATCGATCGGCCTAATCTGCGCCCAGTCAGCAGCTCGAGCTCGAGAACGTCGCCCAGTGCGGTCCAACAAACCATCATGTCGGCCAATTCGCTGCCTCGCCCGTCCAGGCCCTCCATTGCTCCTCCCACGGGCCCGCTGCCCTCGCTGCCTGTCCCCAAGTCGCGCAGCTCCAATGCTGGGCCCACGACGCGCAACTCGCTGCTCCCCAGTCCCGCCGCTGCCCGCGCCGTCTCCTCGTCGGTGCTCCCCTACCGCGTCACTCCCAAGCACACCACCTCGCCCTCGGTTCCGCTCCTGCCTCCGGACGACGCCCAGGCAGGGCCCTTGCCCGCTGGCAAATCGCTGCGCAAGACCGTCAGCATTGGTGCATTTCCACAACCGCCCAAGCACACGGGCAGGTCGACGCCAGGCAGTCCGCTGTCCACGAGCTCGATGCCGGGTGGAGACATGGTCGACCGCAGAATCTCTTCCCTCTCCAAGCCGGCGGCGCCCTCGAGAAACAGCAGTCTGAAGAAGCCGAGGAATTCTTCGAATATTGGCGGAGGTCGAGGCTTGCTGCCACGATCACCACTGTCGCCAGCCAGCCTGCTCGAGGGAGGCACAGGCTCGGTGCCGGTAGACACGGCACACCTCAGTCTGCCCTCCCCGCCGCAGAGTCGCAACTCATCGCCCCAGGGATCCTATACTACGAGTGCCACAACCCTCGAAGGCGAAGGCGGCGGCGACGACGATCGCGGTCGAGCCGATGGCAAGGGCACCAAAGATGGCAAAGGCAACGTCATTGTCAGTGTGCGAGTACGGCCGGATGTGGGAGCAAAAGACAGCAAGCAGGAGCTGGAATGGTCAGTCGACAACAAGCGCGCCCTCATCTCCTATCGAGGTCGAGAGGGCGGAGATTACGTCTATGGTAGGTTGCACAGTGCATGTGTGCAGGCGCAGAGAGCCAAGGGCTAACCACATGCGACCAGACAATGTCTTTGATACCGACGACAACAACGCGCGCGTCTACGATTCGGCAGCCAAGCGGCTCGTCCGACGCGTCATGGAGGGTTACCACGGCACCGTCTTCGCCTATGGCATGACGGGAACCGGCAAGACATTTTCCATGCAAGGCACGGCCACCAATCCCGGTGTCATCCCGCTGGCCATCACCGACATCTTCTCCTACATTCGAGAGACACCACACCGAGAGTTCCTCTTGCGGGTGAGCTATCTCGAGATTTACAATGAAAAGATTCACGATCTCCTGGCCGGCCCCATAGCGGGCATGAATGGCCAACCAGGGCCCCAGGAGGAGATTAAGCTGCGCGAAGACAGCAAGCGTGGTGTTTATGCGACCCCACTCAAGGAAGAAATCGTCCAGAGTCCCACCCAACTTCTCCGCGTCATTGCCAGGGGTGACAATGCTCGACGGGTGGCGGGCACACAATTCAACGCGCGCAGTTCGCGAAGTCACGCGGTTGTCCAGATTGTCGTTGAGAGCAGAGAACGCGCGCCTGGTCCGGCGGTTGGCACAAGCACAAGCAAGCGTGCGGCCATCGTCCCAGGCGGTGTTCGTGTGTCTACGCTGAGTTTGATCGACTTGGCAGGTTCAGAAAAGGCAGCAGATAACAAGGAGAGGCGGACCGAGGGGTCGCACATCAACAAGAGTCTACTCACCCTAGGTACCGTCATTGGCAGACTGGTCAGCGACAAGGACAAGGAGGGCAAGGGCGACAAGCACCTGCCCTACCGAGATAGCAAACTCACTCGTCTTCTCCAGCCCGCCCTTTCTGGAAACTCGCTGGTCAGCATTCTGTGTACCATTCAGATTGGGGCCAGTGGCAGCATCGCCGCCGCGGCCAGCCACACGGGGGAGACGCTCAACACGCTCAAGTTTGCCAGCCGAGCGAAGAATAACATTGTCAGTCATGCGAAGAAGGCAGATGAGTCGCTAGGCACGGGGGGAGATGCGGGAAGCCGAGCGCTGCTGGATCGCTACCGACTAGAGATTCAAGAACTCAAGAAGCAGCTAGAGGCTGGCAAGGCCAAGGAAGTCAAGGAGGAGGAAGTTGACGAGATTAAGCATATCAAAGAGGAAGAAAAGGCTCGCGAATTGGAAGATCGGCAACGCCATGAGGAACAGATGCTGGAAATGCAACTGGCACGCACAGCACTCAAGGAGCGCATCGAGCATCTCAACAGGCTCATTTTGAGCTCCAAGTCCATTGGTGTCAATGGCCGGTCCTTTTCCTCTCTGAGTTATCAGCGTGGCTCCGTCCTCAGCAACGCCATGGATCTGCGACCGAGCTCTGTTCGATCCTCTGCCAGCCATGCGACTCTCGAGGTTCCAAGACGGCGATCCCAGCCGAATCTCAACATGGATGGCTCGGAAGAGGACGACAGCATCGGAGAGAATGGCGATGGCACCGCGAGCCAGGCGGTGCAGATTCAAGCCTTGCAAGCGGATCTGGCCGACAAGAACCGGTACATCACCACGTTGGAGAAGCGACTGCTGCACGCCCGACGGTCCAGCCACTCGCGCGTCTCCATGACGCTATCCCACAAGCTAGGCGGCGGCAGCGAAGACGGCGGCCTCATCGCGACGATTGCGGAAAAGGATGCGGAGATTAGCAATCTGCGCGCCCAGCTCGAGGACAAGGAGCGCATGATTGCCGCCCTCACCTCAGCCCGCAAGAAGAACGACACGGCCCACGACGTGGCCAGCGAAGGCTCCCCCCGTAGCCGCCGCACCTCGTCCAACCAGCGCACCGTCAGCGAAGGCAGCACCAGCGCCCACCTCGTCTCCGCTGTCCCCAAGCCGACCTCCCCCTCGAGCCCGAAACCGTTCTTGCCCCCCGCGAGCGCACATTCCGGTAAGAATATCGAGGAGATGACGCGCATGCTAGATGAAATGATTACCGGGCGCGTGGACAAGGCGGCGGGGAGACGCTCGAGTCTTATGCCGGTTACGGAGGGCGCGTAGGGTGGATGGACGGGAAGATGGCGTATGACCGTATGATGGTATGCTGGACTTTGACCTCGGACGCTCTCACTCTCTCAATGATGAAATCCAGTACACAGGCATGTAATGAGGATGCATGGATGGACGGATGCTCTGGCAAACTGGTGTACTTGTCTTTTGTCTTGTTGCTCTCTGCTCTCTCTTTTTTTTCCTTGCCCGCACAACAGCAACATCACTACCTCCTCCACGACTCCACGGGCAGCGAGCAGCGAGCAAGCAGCCACACATGATACAAAAGCGCAGGCGTTTTCATTGGCATGGTGTTTTTTTTTTTCTTTTTTTTCCCTCCGTCTTCACTTCTCTGTCTGTCTTCTCTTCTCTCTTCTCCCTCTTCCTCTTTTTTCTAGTCCCTCTTCACCCGTATCCTCCGTCGATGTACACGGTGCGGTGGGGCGTGTTCTTTTCTCTTTTCTTTTCTCTTTTTTTAACAGAGGAGAGGGAGGGTGTGTATTGGTCATTGTATTCATTGTTGGTGGGAAAGATGGTCAGGAGGGGATTGTGAAGGTGTTTTCATGGCGATGGCGAGGAGGTGTTATGCTTGACTCTTGTCCTTGTCCGCTTCCTCGGTTATGGTCAGAGGAGGGAGAGGGGGAGAGGGGAGGGGAAAGAGCAGAGCAGGGTCCACGCTCTGAGCTCGTGGACGGTGGTCGTTGCGTCGTGACGCTCGTCGTGCTCCTTGTCGGGATGGTGGTTGTGGTTGTGGACGGGTTACACGACAAAGGCGGAAGATGTGTTGCGCATGTAGTTTATTCAAATCTGATACCCCGTTTACATGACTGCACGTTGGTTTGCAGGACGGGGTTGTGCTGTGGATGGGAGGTGGGCCAATGCAGTGGTAGAGACCACGTAGACTTCCTCCCTCTCCACCCTCCCTGGTCCTCACCCAACTATCCCATCCGTTCATCTATCCATCTATTCCATCTTATTCGAACCCCGCCCTATTCCACCATGTCCACATCTGCTCCTCCCATGCACAACAAGCCCAGACCCAGACCGGGGATGGACATCACTCTCGACCAAGCGAATGCCCACAGGCAGGCCTAGGAGATGGAAGAAAGTACGTCACAGGCTTAAGCTGGGCGATGGATGGCATCCTGGGTTCATGTAGTAGTAGTAGTAGTAGTACTGGAAGTACTGGAAAGCCTTTCTTGGGGGGGAGGGGGGAAGAGGTGAAAGGGGGTGACGTAGGTATCTACAGTATTATGTTCCTATCCACCCCCTTCACCCCGTACTAGTCGTACCCACCAAATCCCCCACCCACACCCTTGCAAGCGCCCACCCGCCAACCCGCCCAACGCCCCAAGCCACCCAATCCAATCCGTCGTCCGCGGTTGCGCATGGACCACGCTCCCGCGGTCTGAAACACTGCCATCACATGCACGCTTCCGACGCTCTTTGCTGGTGGCGTAGTAAGCCGGCTTGGCGGCTTGGCGGCTAGGCTGGTTCCGGGGACTTGTACAGGATTTGTATGTGGGCTTACAGTGTCTTCTATACATGTGAAGTGGGTGTACAGTAGAGTAGGTGTGGGTGTGGGTTTCTACTTTGTGCTTGTGCCTTGTGGATGGTGGGTAGGGATGAGTGAAGGGAGGGAGAGAGAAGGAGGGGAAGAAGGAAGGGGGTCGGGGGGGTGAAAGGTTTCATAAGCGTGCCGTACCCGCGTACATGGCACACACACACACACACACACACACACACACACACACACAGCGCAAGTACGGCAAGGCTCAATCCTCCATGACACGGACCGTCATCCCACCACGTAGCGTCGCGTACTCCCAACGCCTGACGCCTTTGGGATCATACTTGTGTTGTTTCAACACTCATAGTACTAGACTCGAGTGATTCAACATCCATCAGAACGAGCATGTATGTGGTATGACAACCCACACCCCAAGCACCTCGCTTGTCCCCTTGACATCTGATTTTTGGCTGCAAAGGGGATCCGCGTCCGCGCTCTGTTTCTGGGTTGTGAAACTGGTGGTGCGGCAGGGTCCGGGTCGGTGTGCTGTGCTTGTGCTTGTGCTTCCTTACCTGCTGCACTCTCGGCGCATTGTTCGATTGCGACCAGCTTTCTTACGAGCAGAGTGACACGAGCACGAGACGCCACTTTGCCGCGACTCCATTACGGAGGTGGCTTTCAAAAGTTCTTGCTAGCGTATTTGTTAGCGGCTGATCTATTAGCCCTACTTTCTTAGCCCACACACACTTAATTTTAAAGCTATAGATAGTAGTAGTAATAGTCTATCTACTTAATCCTTTAGTATTTTTACTCTACTATAGCTCCTAATACTAATCCTTATACCTATACGCTTATTATAACTTTAAAGTTACCTTTTAGTAGTAAATCTACTACCTAAATTAGTGCTATTATAGGTATTTTACTACGCACTATTAGGAAGGGCACTCTTAAGAGTAGAGTAGAGGGTATAAAAGCATAGTTAAAGGCTTAGGATAAGCTACCTTAACACTAAATCTAGGCTTAGATAGAGCGTATATAGTATTATATTTAGTAGATTATTAGACTAGAAGGTAGTAATAAGTATATAGAGGGGCGGCGCGATAGAGTAGTCTAAGCTTTAGTGGTATCACGGCGGTAATATAGACACCCCTGTTAGCAAGAACTTTTGAAAGCCACCTCCGTACCATACGGACGCCTTGCTTGCTGTCGTTGTTTTTAGCGCGGTGGGGCAGTCGAGTTGGCGTGGTTTTTTCATTCAGGGTTTAACTTGGTTACTTAGATCTTGTTCCTGTTCCTGTTCCAATTCCTGTCCCTGTTCTTCTTCTTCTTCTTCTTCTTCTTCTTCTTCTTCTTCTTCTGCTTTCTATTCTGGCTTAACCGCTATCTATCCCGCCTTACTCGTGGTCCACCGACTCTGAGCTTTTGCAACGTTTGACTTGTTCGATTGTTTTCGATTCCTGAGAGAGGCAGTGCCCTTCGTCCTTTCCTTTGACATTTCTCTCTCTTTTTTTTTCATTTTCCTTTTCTTCGTTTCTGGAAGAGGTGTGCGCTGCAGGGACGGACACACCGTTGATTAGACAACTTGTCGCTATCGCCATCTATCGCGCAGTCATTCTCTGGAGTGGAGTCTGAAACCTCACCCAGTCGAAAGGCCAAAGGGGGGGGGGACACCATTCGTCCATCACCAGCAGCATCGACTTCGATTGACGCCTCCATCCGGCACCCTCCGTCATGCTCAACCAGGTCCACAAATCCTTCTCCAAAATGCACGCTCGACGGAACCCAAATCTGTCGATCCAGTCGACAGCCTCGTACTCGCAACTCAGCCCCCAGGTCCAGTCGGCCACATCGGCCGTTTTCCTCTCGCCAACCGTAGCGTCGCGCCGGGGTTTACTGAGTGGGCGATCACCACCCCCAAGTCCGAATCTACCGAGCTTGATCCCGAGACATGGCAAGAAGAAAACGCAGCAGTCGGCCGGCCATTCGAGGACGGTGAAGACCGTCTTGATCGGTTGCTGTGGCGTGCTCCTGTTGTGTTGGATGGTGCTGCGCCAGATCTACACCACTACCCCGCATGGCGCTGTCAACTATGAAGACGAGACGAGTGGGGACGAGTGGGAAATGGTGGGCGGCGCTGGTCTGCCGCAGGAACCGAGTGCGGTTGCTGTGCAGGATGCAAAAGGCAAGATGAGGTGGACTGTCTCTATTCCCCATGACTTGGACTTTCCCTTGCGCCCGAGCCAGTATCGGGATATCTGCCACACGAGCATGGAGCTGGCCAAGAGTATAAGGCAGGATGCGCAGAAGAGCAGTACCAAGAGGATGTTGGCCTATTACCAGAAAGATGAGTATTATATCGATGTCAAAGACGCGGAAGAGCAGGGATTGCTTCCTCCGTCCAAGGCAGCAGCGAGGCCAAAGGGATTTGTCGAGGATGAGGCGATTGCAGATGGCATCTCTGTCAGTGGACTCAAGGTCTGTGACAGGACCTTGACCTATGTCATGGAGACGGAAGACGCAGGCTTTGGCAACTCCTTGATGAGATTGTGGATGTCGTATGGTCTGGCGAAAGCCGAGAACCGTACTTTCTTCATCGACGACACGAGATGGTACGTCCCAGACATTTCCTGCCATACACAGTGTATAGCATACTGATCTCTCCCCTCCCTCAGGCCCTACGGCAAATACAAATCCTACTTCCTCCCTCCCCCCACCGCCTCGTGCGCTCCCCCACCCCCCTCCCACATCGTCCCCTGCCCACACACAGCCTCGCACCTCATCGTCTCGGGCGCGACCATCAGGCAAACCTTTGGCCACGCCTTCACCAACGAATGGGAAGACGCCACCAAAATGCGCGTCGCCCGCCAACGCAAAATCTTCGGCCTCGCCCGCACAGGCTACGAAGCCCTGTTCAAACTGCGCACTGACGATGCCGCCTACATCGACCAGCGCGCCCTCGACCTCTACCAGGACGTGCAGCAGCAAGGGGGGCTCAGCATCGCGATCCATGTCCGACACGGGGATAAACACCCGTATGAATACCAGTACTCGAAAGACTATATCCCCTTATCCCACTACGTCGACACAGCCCGAGACCTCTACATTGACCTCGTCGAAAACAAAAGACAGTCTGGGTGGAAGCGCAAACCCAACAAATCCAACGACGACAACGTGAACAACAACAAAAACAACATTGACATCCTAAACCTCCATCCCAGACACCCCCCGGCCCCCATGATCCTCGCCTCCGACGACCCCCTCGTCTATCTCACACCCGACCTCGGCACCGCCTCCCACCGCGCCCAGGACCGCATCGTCCTCGCCACCAAAGCCGCCATCGAAGCCAACGCTCCCGGCGCCAAAAAGTCCCCCTGGATCGACGAGATCACGGGCTGGGAAGGCGGGTTTTACCGCGACGTCTTCTTCAGCCTGGGCCAGCCTGTTGGCAATGCGGGGGATTTGGCGCGCGTGTCGCCGGCGAGTGATGATGGCGCTGCTGATGCGGATGCCAAGGATGTCGCGGTCCCGGAACAGGCGATGAAGCTGCGTGAGTTGGTTGGGCGTGCGTACCTGCTTGATTTGAGTGTGCTCGGGCGCGCGGATAGTGTGGTGTGTGGGGTTGCGAGTACGAGTTGTAGGTTGCTGGCGGTGATGTTGGGGTGGGAGGCGGCGATTGAGCAGGCGAGGTGGAGGAACGTGGACGGCGGGTTTGAGTGGAGGGGGATTGTATGGTGATGATCTTTCTTTTTGTTGATTTTTTTGGGAGTGTGCGTTGGGTGGAGCGTGGGATGCCGGGGTTTCGTATGTGAAAGTGTGGGTTTGAATTTTCGTGATAGGACAAGGGGGGGTTTGGCAATGCGTTGGGGTGGAGATGTTGGATAGAGAGGTGGTAGGTGACAAGTCGGTGCATATAGCATGTGCAAAATGGCAAAAAGGTACACCCATGTTTGATTCGAGTGAATCATACGTCTATTATAAGCCATAGGCATCTCATTCCCAGCACGACTCCCATACCCCATATCAGTACAAGCCAGTCCATGCATTCCACCACTACCTCCACATCTCCACCTCGCAATCGTCTACTTCTTGCCCTGCCCCCTCCTGCGCTCCCACACCATGACGTAGGCCTCCTTTGTAAACAGCGTCTCCCCCCTCTCCTTCTCCACGTACAAATCCTGAATCCCATACCACTCATCCCGCGCACGGTCCTTGAGCTGAACTCTCCACACCCGTCGTTCCTGCTCTCCCTCGACACTGTCATCACGGCTCTTGACCGCCTCGTGCGTGATGTTGGCAACAAGGTCGTAGTAGATGGGCTCGCCCGGTGGGTACTCCTTGGGATTGGGCTCAACATAAGGCGCCATGTCGAGACTGTGAACGGGAAAGGTGACAATGGTCGGGTTGCGCTCAGAGACAAATTTGTTCTTGGAGAAGCGTTTGATGTTGAACAACAGGTAGGGCGGTAGAGGGTGCAAGAGGCGGTAGCGAACGCGATTCTTCATCTTTTCTTGCGGTGTCACGCCGTTGTATTTGCTGAGGATGTTGACCAGAGGCACTTGCGGTATAATGTTCTTCTCGAGCGCATCTTGAAATAAAGGGGCAGAGGGTAGGTCGAGGGTGAGGATCAGGAAACGCGAAGTCTCCGTCTTGACAGCTGCATCTTCGAAGCGCAGACGGTCACCTGCGTCGGCCCGAGCGGTGATTTCTTGGGATTCGATCTTCAGTGTACCCTGGAAGACCTTTTGGATGATGCTGCTACCCGGTTTGGTTTTGGAGCCACCGACTGCGAGGTGTAGGTTGTTTAAGAACCACGAGAGGAAGTCGACGGGATCGGATTGTTCGCTGAGGCTGAAGCGTTTGGAAGACCGTAGAGCGATTTCTTGGAGGAGTTCGTGAGGCGAGACGTGTGTTTTGAAGGCCCGTGGGTTCCAAATCTTGCGGACTAGTGTGCTAAAACGCTGGGCGAGTTGCGGTCTACTTGACAGGTCCTCGAGCATGAAGTAATTCCGTAATGGCACCACGTGGGCGAGTGCTTGTATGGCGACGTTGAAGTAGTCGTTTGCTTTGATGTTGTTCATGCCTACGAAGCCAGGGATGTATTCGCGATTCGAGAGGTCCCAGGACACTTTTGGCTCCTTGTCTAGCCGCGCAACTTCACTCTTGGTCATGCGTGGGTCCACGACGAATTTTATATCATCGAGTGACTTGCTCTTCACCTCGTAGCCTTCAGGCAGCACATAGACCTTCTTCGTCTCCATGTTGACGTATACATGGTGTCCCTCTTCCAGCGCATGGAAGTATGCTTGCGACTTGGGTCCCCTTCCTTGGTAGTATTTCCCGCATACTAGACAAGCGTAGACGTTGATGTTGGACAGCGTGACGGAGCATAGCTTCTCAAAGTCAAAGTCGAGGACTTTGCGGTTGATTGTGTCGAGGTAGAGATCTGTGTAGCCGGTTTCGGGTGCGTCCTGGCGTTTGGATGCGCCCAGTGCAGGTGCGTTCTCGTCTTCTTCTTCGTCGTCGTCGTTGTCGATTGCGCCTGCTTCGAGGAGCTCCGCATGCTCCTCCGCGTCTGCGCCCAAGATATCTGGTGTTTCGTATTGCGCTGGCGGCCTGTGGAAGCCGTTGCTCCCATTTGTCGGAGGACTCGCCATCTCTTCATCTTCCACCCGTGCTCGTTTCGAGGCTGGTGAGGGCGCGTCGACTACATCCTCCAGGCGCATCTCAGCTGGTCGCTTCGACATGATAGCGGCAGCAGTCAAGCCACGACGTGAGCGAGGATTTGATTTTGTTTTAATATTTCCTCACGTCCCAGTGAGAAGTTTGGACTGTATAATTACAATGCAACAAGTGCACTGCGCCGCCTTTGTCGATTGTCTATTTACACCAACTGGCGTGGTTGAAGCAAAAGGTACAGTGTCATGGCCCTGGGAGAAGCCATCGAAGGTTCACGGGCGCCGGGGGATTGATTGGCCGGGAAAGCTCCGCGCAAACATGGCAAACACAGGTTGGGGTTCACTAACGCGGGCAGCGGACAACTCGAAAAAAAGTCGCGTTCGCCAGGCACCGCTGCTGTCAACCCCACACCTTCTAGATACCCCTCTTTACACACTGACTGCCTCCTAGAAGATGGTATATTCACTCCTTCACCTCCTGTTCCTCTTCTCCAGACTTGGTCTGTTTTGCTAACTCCATCTCAGTCGAACCCCACACAGATCTTTGCCGACGATGTCACAGAGGAAAAGGGCGAGAATGCACGTCTCTCGGCCTTTGTAGGCGCCATCGCCGTCGGTGATTTGGTCAAGAGCACACTGGGCCCCAAGGGCATGGATAAGATATTACAGTCGGCGTAGGTTTGACCCCGCCCCTCTATGCATCCAACACCCATTACCCATCTTGAACTGGTATACTGACCAAGTGACAGCTCCACCGGCGAGATCATGGTCACAAACGACGGTGCCACCATCCTCAAAGCCATCGCTCTTGATAACGCTGCTGCTAAAGTGCTCGTCAACATTTCAAAAGTACAGGACGACGAAGTGGGTGATGGCACCACATCCGTCACTGTGCTAGCCGCTGAACTCCTCCGCGAAGCTGAGAAGCTTGTCGACCAAAAGATCCACCCCCAGACCATCATCGAAGGCTACAGGATAGCAAGTAATGCGGCCCTCAAGGCCCTCGAGAAGATTGCGGTGGATCACAGCGGCGATGAAAAGGCCTTCCGGGAAGACCTCGAGGCGATTGCGCGGACAACGCTGAGCTCCAAGGTGCTCTCGCAGGACCGCGACCAATTCGCCAAGCTCGCCGTCGACGCCGTTCTCAAGCTCGGCGGCTCGACCGACCTCACACACATTCAAATCATCAAGAAGGCGGGAGGAAAGCTCAAGGACTCTTACCTGGAGGAGGGCTTCATCCTGGACAAGAAGTTTGGTGTCAACCAGCCCAAGCGGATAGAGAATGCCAAGATCCTCGTAGCCAACACCTCCATGGATACAGACAAGATCAAAATCTTTGGTGCAAGAGTAAAGGTCGACTCCACGGGCAAGCTGGCGGATCTGGAAAAGGCAGAGCGGGAGAAGATGAAGGCAAAGGTCGAGCGTATCAAGGCACACGGCATCAACTGCTTCGTCAACCGACAGCTCATCTACAACTGGCCAGAGCAGCTCTTTGCCGACGCCGGCATCTGCTCGATTGAGCACGCAGATTTTGACGGTGTGGAGCGTCTCGCTCTGGTTACAGGGGGAGAGATTACTTCGACATTTGATCACCCAGAGAACGTCAAGCTTGGTCACTGCGACTTGGTCGAGGAGGTGATTATTGGAGAGGATGTTTTGATTCGATTCTCAGGCATCAATGCTGGCCGAGCGTGCACCATTGTGCTCCGTGGCGCTACCGAGCAGCTCCTGGACGAGGCTGAACGATCGCTCCACGATGCTCTCGCCGTTCTCTCACAGACGATCAAGGAGCCGAGGACGACTCTGGGAGGGGGATGTGCGGAGATGAACATGGCCAAAGCGGTAGCGGTTGCGGCACAGAATGTCGAGGGTAAAAAGGCGATCGCGGTTGAGTCCTTTGCCAAGGCTCTCCAGCAATTACCCACCATTCTGGCGGACAATGCAGGCTTCGACTCGAGCGACCTGGTCACCCGGCTCCGCAAAGCCGTGTACTCGGGCTTGACGAGCTCCGGATTGGATCTCTTGACACCGGGTGGAGGGATCACAGACATGAGGGAATTGGGGGTGATTGAGAGCTACAAGTTGAAGCGGGCGGTTGTGTCGTCGGCCTCGGAGGCTGCCGAGGTGAGTCTTGCCATGTTTTTTTACTATTTTTTTGTGATGTGATGCTAATTTCTCTAGTTACTCCTACGTGTGGACAATATTATTCGATCGGCACCACGAAGACGCGAGCGTATGTAGATGCGGATGTAGATTATATGATGATGACAGTGTGGGTGGGGGGGAGGGGGATCCAAGCAAAGTAAGAAATTCAACAGGTGACTTTCCATGTTGTGTCCTCGATGTCCATGGCAGCCATTGTGTCTCGCACTAGAGCCAGTAGAGGTGGGGATGATGAACAACCATGGTCCCAATACAGCGATGCAGTTGCCAATATCACGATGGACAGGCACGGTGCTAAGTCTGGGTGTGAAACCGTATCGCAGAGAATCCGTGTGTGCTACTTTGTGTGATGGACTGGGATGGGATGGGATGCATGCAGGCGGCTGTACCGGTAATGCAGTGTAGGGTTGATTGGGTTCCAACTCTGTAGAGTATTGTACTGTAGAAACATGTCCGTTGGGTGGATGGAAGGATCGTGCGAGGGGGTTGAGTTGCCCACGTCATCAAGCAGAACTGTGACATGTTTCAGGATTGGACGGGGCTGGTGTGGTGCGAAAGGGTGGGTAGTAGTAGTATGTAGGCTTGGGGGACTATAGGTAGGTGGTGGGGGTTCACGGTGTACCTAGTGTGTGCATGCACAGTACAAGTTGCATAGGGGTAGCTAGGTGTGTACTCTAGGTAGCCGTGGGGAGTCTTGCCTTCTCTCTCTTCCCTCTCGCTCGCTAAAGTAGCTAGGTAGTACCGGTAAGTCTCGAGCTAGAGTGTAGACTCTAGTCTCTCGCACGAATCGGCAAGGGTAGTGGGACCGAAGAGAGGGAGAAACCCACTCAGCATAAGGATATTGTACATGTTTTTGTATTCTGGTCTTTGTCATGTGTGGGCTTTGAGGGATTATTGCGGGTTAAGATTCTTGTGGGGTGAGGAATGGGTGGTGTGTGTGTGTGTGTGTGTGTGTGTGTGTGTGTGTGTGCGTGTCTGGTTGGGATAGAGTCTGGTAACTAAAGGCTATGGGAAGGTGGGTGGGTGTTGGTGAGCAGGCGACCGGGGTTGGATTGAGTTGGTCGCGGGCCGGTGTTGATGGATGATGGATGAGTGTTGCTTTCGCTCCCTCTGCGGCCAAAACTGCAAAAGCTGCACAGACGAGTGTGGCCGAGGGCTGACTGTGAGTGTGGTACAAGGAAACAGTGAGGGGAGGTGAGCCGTTGTGTTTCCAGTCTGTTGATTGAGGTTGTGCCGGGCACGGGCTATTCACACACACACACACACACACACACACACACACATAGATATGGATGGTGCATGCAGGTCCGAGGTCGGTATCTCTTTTCTCTCTTCTTCTTTTCCCCGCTGCTTCTTTTTCAACACACTGTTTTTGTCTGAAGCTTGGGACAGTAGGTAGCCCTGGAAGTAGATGTACAAGATGATGCACTGGCTATTGATAGCAGGCTTAGCTTAGGTACCGGTATAGTGACTCCTAGCTATCCTATCCTATTCTATCCTACCTATTGCCCTTCCCTGGTACCTGCGCGGTCACTAGCCCCTACACACAGTTACTCTACTACGAGGGGAGCTAGAAGGCAAGGGAAAAGTGGGTGAGGCGAGACAGAATCGGGCCTAGAGCGGCGGAAGGCTGGCCGCCGACGAGCTTGGACCAGGCCACTTGAGCCACCAGACCGACCAGACCCCGGGCCCTTTTGGATCGTCCAACCCAACTCGCTCCCCTTCACCTCCACCTCCACCTGCAGGCCTGCTTTGTGCGCACGCTTCCAAGCTTCCAAGCTTCCCAGAAGAGCGAGTTATCATTGTACTATTGTATAGACTACCTAACGTACCCATCGCCCTGGCTGGGGGAGACTGTCCACGCTTACTTGCTTACTTACTGGCTGGCTGGCTGGCTCAGTCTCTTACTCTCGGCTGCACTACTAGGGTACCAGGTACTATTACTATTACTGTTCCACGCTTCAAAATCACAACCACCGCCTCCCCTCCCCCCCCCCCCCCCCCTCTCCTCCCTCTCCTCCTCCTCCATCACCTTGTCATCCATCGCATCGCCTGCCCATCTCGCCCACCACCTTCCGTCCACGCACCTCATCTCTTCACTCCCACAACAAGTTCCCAGTAACGCCTCGCCCTTTTGTCTGATGCTGCATCTCGCCCGCCCGCGGCGCCTGCACAAGGCCTCGACATAACACACACACACACACACACACACACACACCACACACAGACACAGCACCACCACCACCGGCGGTGCACACCCGCCCTCGCACGCCCCTTTCTATCGTCTGCGTATTTTTTGATTCTTTGATTCCCTTCTTTTTGCTCATTGCATCTTCTTGTCCGCCATGCCGCGTCCGCGCCGGCCGCCTGGTGCTGGCCCGGCCTTGACCCTCCTCACCCTCCTGCTTCTTCCCTCGCTTCTCGTGGCCGCTCAGCAGCAGCATCACCACCGTCAGGTCCATAGCCCCTCTCCCTACGTCGAGCCGCTCCTCGACACCGCCCGTCGCCCCATCGCAGCCCACGATCCCAACGCCAATGCCAACACCAATGCCAAAGCCCATGTCGACACTCCTCAGGGCAGTCCAGGCGACGCAAAGAAGCGTTGGGCTGCCACTCCCCTTCAGGCCCAGCACGCGCGCGCCGTAGCTACCAAAGTCTCGTCTGCTCCAGCCTTCTCGGCTGTCCGAGCCTCATCCCGCAACACCGCTGCCTCGGGGGCCCTGGTCCCCAGTGCGCGCTCCCTGCAGGACTGGGAAGTCGAGGACTTTGTTCTCTTGGCGACCGTCGACGGCCACATCCACGCCCGCGACCGATACAACGGCGAGTACATCTGGCACCTCCCCGGCCGCCCCATGTTGGAGACCATCTACAACCTCTCCAATGCCAAGAACACACTCGAGGACCAGCCCTTTGTCTGGATCGTCGAGCCTCGCGAGGACGGCGCGCTCTATGTGCTCACGCCGGGGCCCTATCCCGTCCTCCAGAGCCTCGGCCTGACCGTCAAGCAACTGACCGACATTGCCCCTTACTCGAGTGACGATCCCGAGCTCCCCGTCGTCTACAATGTCGAGAAGCGTACGGGCATGTACATTGTCGACGCCGCCACAGGCAAGGTCATCAAGGACTTTGGCCCCGGCGATACCTTTCTCTCCGACGACAGCTGTGCCCCCGTGACGAGGAACTATTTTGGCAGTCGCGATCGCACCTGTCGCGGCATCATCGACATTGGCCAGACCGTCTACACCATCACCATACACAACAAAAAGACCAACGAGCATGTCTGCACCATTCGCTACGCCGAGTGGAATCCAAACAGCCGTGACAAGGACTTGCAGGCCCAATATGGCCAGACCATGGACAACCAGTACATCTACAGCAGATATGATGGCGAGGTCTTCTCCTATGACCACAGCCGCTCGAGATGGCGCCAACGCCCCGTCTTCCAAACACCGCTGCCCTATCCAGTCGCCCGCGTGTTTGACATTGCCCGGCCCACCCATGACGACTCCGCCGAAGCCCCTCTGGTCTTGCTACCCCAACCGGCTGGGCCAGCCTTTCGAGAAGAAATGGCAAACCGCGTTCTCCTCAACACCACCGACACGGGCGCCTGGTATGCGCTGTCGGAGATCCACTATCCTGCCGTCACCGACGGGGCTCCAGAGGCAGCCTGCTACCAACCCAAGGAATACCTGGACTGGGATGCCCATTACATCTTGCCCGATACCCAGAGTCTAATTGGCGTACACGAGCTGGACAGATTACCGCCCCAGCAGTCGCAGCTCAGGGCCATCGCCGCCCCAACACAGTTTCAGAACAAGAATGAGCACGTGCAATCGACGGCGCCGGCCGAATCGCTTAGAGAGCAACCCCATCAAGCCATTGATCCCCCGCCACAGCCCATGATGGAACCGCGTTCGCTACAGCCATACTGGCTTGCCTTCACGACTTTGATCGTCATCGTCGGCTGCATCGTGACGTACAAGAAGACGGAGCTGGCTCAAGACTATTTTTCCAGGCTCTACAACAAGTACCAAGGCGACGAACCACTTTCGCCGGAACCTGCCGCTGTAGAGTCAAAGGTAGAGCCCAATGAGCAAAAAGACCTTGCGACAGAGAATTTCAAGCCTGAGATGGCAGATGTGACAGTGACGGTAGCAGAAGCAGAAGCAGAAGAGGAAGAAGAAGCAGCAGCAGCAGCAGCAGAAACAGAAGAGGTCAAGATCGAGATTCCTGTACCTGCTGAAGTCAAGGAGAAGAAGGTCATGTTTGATATCCCGGACGACGACGACGACGACCTCTCTCCCATCTCTCGGACAACAACCATGGAGCAGCCCTCTCCCTCAGAAGAAAGTGCCGAGGTTGGGGCTGTGAAAAGCACGGGAGAGAGCCAACAACCGTCCACCGCTGCCAGTACCGAGGACGGGGGCCAAGATACTAATAGTGCCCCTGCCACACCAAAGAAGAAGAAGACGCACCGGGGAAAGCGTGGCGGCAGAAAGCTCAACAGGAACCAGCAAAAGGATGACGACGAAGTCAACCGCATCGTGAACGCCGCCAAGCAGCTCGAGGTTGGCCAGGGTCTACATCCCGATGAAGTCACCATGAACGGCGATGACATTCAAGACGTTTCCAACATCAAGCGGATCGGTAAATTGACCATTGACCAGGACAAACTACTTGGCAATGGCAGTGGCGGTACCTTTGTCTTTGAAGGCAAGTGGAACGAACGCGAAGTGGCCGTCAAGCGAATGCTGCCCCAATACTTTGGGCTCGCAGAGCAGGAAGTCAAGTTGTTGCAGGAAAGCGACCTACACCCCAACGTCATTCGTTACTTTGACGATGAAAAGGATGAGAATTTCCTGTACATTGCTGTCGAACTCTGCCAAGCCAGTCTCTTTGACCTGTACAAGGATGGCCGACCCGGAGAGGAACTCACTCCGACTCAACAACGGCTGGTCCACGACATCAACCTTCACGCTCGACAGGCATTGTATCAACTAGCCAACGGCCTCAACCACCTCCACAGCCTTCGAATCATCCACCGTGACATCAAGCCCCAGAATATCCTCATTGCCCACCCACAACGAACGCAAAAAGCCGGAATCCGTCTCGTGATCTCCGATTTTGGCCTGTGTAAGACGCTTCCCGACAACGTGAGCACTCTTATTGGCACGACCGGCAACGCAGGCACCGTAGGATGGAAAGCCCCTGAACTCATTTCCCAACCCAAAGAGCTCGCCAATGGCAGTTCGCAGGGCTTCTCGCGCGACTCGTCTAGCTCCACCGACCCCGTTGCGCAGGGCGTTAAGCGCGCCGTCGACATCTTCTCGTTAGGCTGCGTGTTCTTCTACGTGCTCACCAACGGCTGTCATCCCTTTGACGACGATGAGGGTTGGATGCAGATTCGCGAATACAACATCAAGAAGGAAAAGGCCAATTTGAAACAGCTACGCCTAGGCGACGACTCGGAGGAGCCCTACCACCTCATCAAATGGATGCTCAAGACGCGTCCCGAGGACCGCCCGACGGCCATTCAAGTCATGAACCACCCCTTCTTCTGGTCGGACGAAAAACGCCTCAACTTTCTCTGCGACTGCTCGGACCACTGGGAACGTGAACCCCGCGACCCGCCTTCTGAAATGCTCTCGGCCCTAGAAGACTACTCGTCCGAAGTCCTCGACGCCAAGCGCAACTTCCTAGCCAAACTCGATCACGGCTTCATCAACTCGCTCGGCAAGCAGCGCAAGTACACGGGCGACCGCATGCTCGACCTCCTGCGCGCCCTGCGCAACAAGAAGAACCACTACGAGGACATGGAGGAGAGTGTGAAGCTCAAGGTCGGGCCGTTGCCGAGTGGTTATTTGAGGTATTGGACGGTGCGCTTCCCGAGGCTGCTCATGGCTTGTTATGAGTGTGTGGTTGAGTGTGGATTGCAGGGCGAGTCTAGGTTTAGGCCGTATTTTGAGGGGCAGAGTATGTAGGTTGGGGGCTGGGGGTTGTGTATGGGTTGTGAATTTTTGATAGGAATGGGGATTATGCTAGTTTTCTTTGTCAATATGAATTCTTATTCGTCCGTGAGGAATCTAATTCTTCATTCATGCTATCCTCTCCCTCTTCCTCGTCCTCGCCTCGTTTCTTGTCTAGATGGATGTCATGGATCCTTTGCCTCGAGAGATTTGCACAACTGCCAACGCGCTCTTCCTAGTCTTGAGTGGGTGAAATGTGATGCCGGATTAGTCTCAACTTTGTATAACTTCTTGTTTGCCATTGTCTTGCTCTTGCGCATCGGCTTGACTTTTGCCATTGCTTTCGCTTTGCCTGCGCTCCTCACTCTCGCCTTTGCGTTTGCCCTTTTCATCACCGTCTCCCTTCTCCTCCCCCTCCATATGTCCCTTCCCCTCCTCCACATCCCCCTCCTCTCCTTTCCCATCTCCCCCTCCACCCCCCAACCTACTCGTCGCAACCCGACTCTCTCCCCCAGGCTTGCGAAACACGGCCTGCAGCCAACAGCGGTACATTTTCAGTCTGCGCTGGCGGTTGACGAGCATGCGTCTGTCTACGCCAATGTGTGCAGTTTCAAAGTCTGGGCGGGGGGAAGGGGATGGAAGTGTAGTATGCTCAGCATCCGGGGCATCCAACCCACCAGTCACATCCACCGCACTCTCTCCAGCAGTCGCACGCTCCCCATCCACCGCACTCGTTGCACCCTCCCAAATCCCCCTCAACTCGTCCTGCTCAAAAAAATAAACCCTTGTGCCATCCCCCCGGACATAGAAATTCTCCTCGAGATAGCGGCCCTTTTTAAACCGGACCTGGGCGAGATCGCCGCGGCCATAGTCGCGAAACAGGACCTGTCCGCCGGGCTTGAGCACGCGCCAGATGTTGCAGAGGGCTTGGTGCCATTGCGTGGGTGCGAGGGCGCTGAAGATGAAAATCATGAGCACGACGTCGACGCTTGCTTCGGCGAGGCCCGGGGGGAGTCCCGTGTTTGCGGCCGAGGGGGGCGAGGCGACGTCCCAGACGTCTGCGCGAATACAAGTTTCGTCGTAGAGGGGGTTGGCGCGAATTAAGTCGACGGCCTTGCTGCTGAAGTCGCAGGCGTGGATCTTGAGCCGTGGGTTCCGACTGTTCTGCAGAATGGGAAATGCAGAGTTTCCTGCCCCGGCGCCGACTTCGAGGACGACAGCGGCTGGCGCGTCTGGGTGGCCGAGATCGGCGAGGACGGGGAATTCCTGGCTGAGCCACTTGCGGTTCTTGAAGAAGTTGCTCTTGTTGTTCTTGTAGAATTGGTTCCACCATTTCTCCGGCCGCTCCATGTACCGCTTGCGGTCAAAGTCGGAGACGGGGTCGAGCCGCTGGGCGGCGTATTGTTGCTGGGAAAAGGCCTGATAGGTCGAGTCGACGGTGACGTGGTCCCAGGCGTTGAATTCAAAGATGTTGTCGCCTTCTTCGAGGTAGCGGCTGCCAAAGGAGAACGGGTCGCTCCGTTTTTGGTTGTTGGCGGGGTCGTGGGAGCGCGAGGGCGGGGCGCGGACGGGGGCGATGGAGGCAGGGACTCCGTAGGCGTCGTTTTCGGTGGGAATAGTGGGGTCGGGAGTGAATTGTGTTTGGGCTTGTTCTTGTGGTGGCGGTGGTGGTCGTGAGATTGAGGTTGGGGTATGTGGGATTGGGTCGACGGTGACGGCAAAGCGCATGTGTTCCATTGCCTTGGAGAGTTGTTGTTTTGGCTGCGGTTTGGGGGACATTGTATTGTTTGTTTGGAAGCGGGCCGAGTCTAACAACTGTGCCTCGTTCGGGGCGGTGGGTTCTGTACTGGAAGCCATGGTGTTGTTGATGTTTGTACCGATCCTGTGTGTCGCGGGGGAGGGGGGGGGGGTTGCATTTCGTCGCGTGGAGGGGGGAAAGATTTCCAGATGGGACTAGGGAGAATGGGGTTTAGCTCAGCCGCGGACCCTGAATCTGCCAGCATGAGATCATTGCAAGGCTTAGCGTGGTTTTTTGTCTTTTTGGCGTCCCAGTCTGGATGCTTCATGAGCTCATCAGTCCAAACTCCCCAGAAGACAACAAAGTCGATCATGATACCCCGATGACAAGGCAGTTCCCGTTGCATCCCGAACCGAAACCCCACATCATAATTGCACCTTCATACCTACCAACAATATCGGCAATCTACCACAAATGATGGCTTCATCATCATACCTCCGCACCCTACGGCCCACCCTTTCTCCAACCCGCCTCCTCCTTCTCCCCACCCAACAACGCACCTTTCTCAGCAACCCCTTCGCCGCCCTTTCCGCCCTCGCACCGCAAACCACCAACGCACCCCCTCAGATCCTCACCGCCTGCCGCACACTCCCCTACCCCTCTGCACCCGTATACTCCATCATCGCCGACGTGCCCAGCTACTCCAAATTCCTCCCCTACCTCACTTCGAGCCAGATCTCACAATGGTCAGCCCCAGACGCAGAGTTCGGACGCCGCTGGCCGAGTGAAGGGACGCTGACGGCCGGCTTTGGAGGCATAGAAGAGAGTTTTGTGTCACGCGTGTATTGTATACCTGGCCGCTTCGTCGAAAGCGTAGGCGGCGCAACGCAGACGAGTCTAAAGGCCGGGGATATTGCGCATCATCTGCAAGAGACAGAAAGTTGCGGGCCGGCGCGAGCAGCAGACGAGTCCAACCTGCTCACCCATCTAAGGAGCAAATGGTCCATCGAGCCCATGAAGGACAACAACACTCAGGTCTCGCTCGCGGTCGAGTTTGCCTTTGCGAATCCCATCTATTCGGCGTTGAGCGCAAATGTAGCACCCAAGGTTGCCGACTTTATGATCAGGGCGTTTGAAAAGCGGGTGCAGGAGGTCTTGGACGCGAATCCGAAGATGATTGAGGCGAGCTTGGGGGAAATGGAGGGAAGTGAGCTGAAGAGGTGATTTTCCATGTTCTTCGTCAAGTGATGCAGGCATGCGAGTGATGAAATCTTGGTATTGCAATGGCGTTTTGACAGGGAATAGCAGGTGTATAAACGGCAGGTGTACTCTGCTCTTCAGAATAGCAGTGTTGTGGACCACTCCAACTTGTACGTCGGGATGAAGCTTCGTCATGATAGGACATGTATAACTTTTTATATATGCAGATGGGAGAATGTGTACAAATACAGTTTTTCTGAGACATTAGAAATGGTTATCAACGTCAGTTGGTTCTCCTTGTGCACGATATTCATCTCCCATTCTTTCGGAGCCTTTTGCATACTAACTGACACGTCTCAGCTACGAAAATCGCTGCTCTAGTTTGGTAGTATAAATCAAAATCTACGGCCTGTCTACTCTCATCTTGCACATTACACGCTCAGTGTCTACCTGCCTGTCTTTCTGTCTGCCCCTCTCTTTATAGCTATCTTGAGAGCCAAAAAGTAAGCACATCTCCTTCCAGAACCGGATCCCATCATTTGGATCCCTTATTCTACAGCAACATATCACAGCCCAAGTTACTAATACCAGCAAAGTGAACGAATGAAGCAATCTCAGAAAACTATAGCCATCATGAAAACTTGCCAACAGCCTTCAACTAGTTCTTCTCACCCGCATTGCTAACAAGCCTTCAGATCGCCCTTGGAAAGAGGCTCTCGTTGAACACACTGTACACTCTATACTGCCCCACCATATCCCAAACCCTTTATCATCACTACTCTCAACTCCTACTCCTCCCGAACAACACCTCAGGCACCAACTCCACCGCCGCCAGTGTCTGTACTTGCAAGCCGCGACACGCAAAACTCTCATCGCTGTTTCGTCGCCGCACATGCGGGCGGTGCAAAAGGGATCTATTAAGCGTGGCCGAGGTCGGGGCGAAGCGTTCGAGCCAATGGGTTGGAGGAGTGTCTTGTCTTCTTTGGGGGGTTGGGAGGGGCATCGTGGACATGGTACCCGATCGCGAGCGTTTCAGTGGTGCGGGCTTTGCGTATGCAAAGTCTTGGATGTGGGTGTGCTTTGTAAGCTGTGAGGATGCAGTAGCAGCTGAGACGGCGGTGGTGCATGTGTGTGTGCTACGCTCGTCGTCGGATAGTACAACGGGTCCTGGACGCGATATTTTGGCTTTCAGGGCTGCCTGTGCTTTTGCGGTTTGCTTGTCTGCACGGGGGCACCACCAGGGGTCTTTGGTGGGAGGAGTGGGAGATTTTGAACTAGGGTTACAGGCTGTCAAGGACGAAGGGTGTGATGTGTGTCCAAGCTGGGACTTTTTTGAAACACATGAGCTGTTTTGGCGACGGGGTTTGGGTGGTGGGTGGAGTTGCCGGACAGGAGGGAGGGCCTTGCTGATGTCGAGGATGCGGTGGATGGGGGAGTCGGGGCCGAAGGGATGTTTGTAGGATGGAAATGGAGGTTCTGGTTCTTTTCGTGGGAAGCGTGGTAGGGTGCTTTGGATGTAGCGTCCGTTAAGTGGGATACGTGATGATCCTTGGCTCGTGGAAGTCTGAGTTGTAGAAGGCGAAAACTCATTCTTTCTTCTTTCAGCATGAACCGGCTTGTTCTTGCGAGCTTGCTGATATGCTTTCCAAGCCTTTTGGCCTTCGCCTTGAGGACCGGTCTTGTAGATGTCTTTGGCCATGTGCCACCAGTCAGACTCTTGGCCCCGTTTTTGCAGGGCACTTGTTTGCTTGGCCGGTATTTGTTGATTGGCATTACCTTCTAGTTGAGTAGCTGAACCTTTTTGCCATGGGTTCTTGGGCTTGGGGTCAGGGGTTTTCGTGTCAGTGGGAATGTGTACGTACGAACCATGCCTTGTTTCTTGTGAGTGAGTATAATCCGCAGCATACAAACTCGATGCAAACTGAGCTTGTTTCCTATTATCAGAGTTCGACAAAGGAGAAATAGCCTCCACAGATGAGTCCTTCACTGGAGGCACACTGCTCATGAGAGAACTACATTCATCCGGGCTTTGCCCAGGTTCGTAATCATTGATAACGGCGACTTTCAAAGGTACATGAATGTCCTGAATTTCAGGTTTTTTAATCTGTTGAACGTCGTGATTCGGTCCAGCTCGTTGGCGTGGTATAGGCCGTGGAGTCTTAGCGTCAACCCATTTACTATTTCTAGTATTACGACGCATGCGATTTTCGTATCTTGTGAACGGGTTTGACACTTCCAATCGATTAGCCATGGTTGAACTGAGAGATGTGGTAAATATATATAGGTAGCACCAATATCGTGGTTGTCACAGATTGAGACTCGGCTTGCTAAATGTCTCTCTGTCGAGTTGCAGATCTAGGTGTTTAGTATACGAAATTGAACCTTCAGTGAGTACTGATGGAGTGGGAGTATTAATATGAGGAAAAATTAAGTTGCTAGTGAGATTCTTTGAAAACTTAAATCAGACTGTGGTAGAAGAATATTGACCATTGTGTAGTGGTACGACAAAGACTACTAAGATCACGTTACTACAGATCCGCTGCCCAGATGACAAGACCAGAACAACAGAACAATGAATGCTAATTTGAAAGGCACTCGTCTCAACACCATTGTGTAGCAAGTAACACAATACCGTGGATCCAAGTGCTGCGCATCACATGGGGAAACTGGTAATCATGCCTTATATCAATGAGCGCAAGGCTCCTGAAGGTGAGAATAGTGCTTCACTCCATCGCCCAGGCACGCTTCCCAGGCGCAAATTTGAGTATCATCTAGTTCAACACTGTATATTAGCCGTATGGGCGGAAGGGGCACAAAGCATATCCGACGCACACAACTCGTGGCCCAGCTCAAATATCAAGATTTTTCATATCCGCCCACCTTGGTCGATATGGCAGCAGCACAACAAAGTTTCAAGGAAGTGTATGATCAAGGGTTTATTGAAGTTATTTTGAACTTTGATGTATTTTTGTATACACGATTTGTTTGATCTTGGCATCATTACTCATGGCATGTTCATAGACCAACGTTGCCTGCGGCCACATTACTGACTCCGTCGTAAGTGTTTGATTACAAGTTAACGGCAGTCCTGAAGTTGTTGCCGGCGTAGATGGCGTTGTCACCCAGCTCCTCCTCGATGCGGAGAATCTGGTTGAGCTTGGCAAGACGCTCAGACCGGGCAGGCGCACCAGTCTTGATCTGCCCAGCGCGGAGACCAACAACAATGTCAGCGATGGTGACATCTTCGGTCTCACCGGAACGATGGGAGACCATGACACCCCATCCAGCTCCGAAAGCATCCTTGGCAGCCTGGATGGCCTCCGTGACCGTACCGATCTGGTTGACCTTGAGGAGAAGGGCGTTGCACGACTTGAGCTCAATGGCCTTCTTGATGAACTCAGGGTTGGTGACAGTCAAATCGTCACCGACAATCTGGAAGTCAGAGGTCTTGAAGAAGTAGGACCATGCCTCCCAATCGTCCTCAGCAAAGGGATCCTCAATGCTGACAATGGGGTACTTCTCAGCGAGAGACTTGTAGAGCTCAGCGAGTTGTTCATACGTGAGCCACTTGCTCTTGTCGCTCTCGGGGTTCTTGAAGTCGAGGTCGTACTTCTTCTCCTCGGTCTTGTAGAATTCGCTAGATGCAACATCCATGGCAATCTTTATCTGGCCGGTGTAGCCAGCCTCCTCGATGGCCTTGGTGATGAGATCAAGAGCCTCCTCGGGAGTCTGAATATCGGGCGCAACACCTCCCTCGTCGCCGACGTTTCCAGCAGACTGTCCATAGGTCTTCTTGGCAAGGCTCTTGAGCTTCTGGTAGACTTCGGCTCCTTGGCGCATGGCCTCGGAGAAGGTTGGGGCCTCGCTGTAGAAGGATTAGTTCCATCCAGACCAGCCCTTTACAGGACACAAAACTGCTTACCAAGGGACAATCATGAATTCCTGGAAGGCGAGACGGCCACCGGCATGCGAGCCACCGTTGAGGACGTTCTGGAAGGGAACAGGAAGGACGTAAGGCTTCTTCGTGCCAGCCAGGTCGGAAATGTGTGCGTAGAGAGGCACGCCCTTCTCAGCGGCAGCGGCCTTGGCGATGGCCATTGAGACACCGAGAATAGCATTGGCACCAAGCTTCTCCTTGTTCTTGGTTCCGTCGAGCTTGTTCAGGAAGGCGTCGACGGCAGACTGGTCCTTGACATCGATCTTCTCTTTGATCAGAGCAGGGGCGATGGTGTCGTTGACGTTGGCAACAGCCTTGGTGACACCCTTGCCACCCCACTTGGTCTTGTCTCCATCACGGAGCTCGCAAGCCTCGTGGGAACCAGTCGAGGCACCGGAAGGAACGATGGCACGGTGGAGTCCGGTCTCGGTGACGATGTCAACCTCGACGGTGGGGTTACCCTGGTTGTTGTCAGCAAAGGCCATGGTCGACTGGAGGCGTGACTACCTACGCGAGAGTCGTAGACCGAACGAGCGTGGATCTTGGTGATGGTCATCGTGGATCTGAGCTGCGTGGAAGGTATCAGTATCAGCTGAAAGTTGATGAGAGGAGTCAATTGCGAGATCGGAAAGCTGGAAGCGGGTGGGGACAGCCCAGCTCTATATAGACTGGTACCAGCCCTATGGTGCAGCTGAGGTGAAAACAGCAGCGCAGGGCGCAAAAAGCAGCAACACTGGACCAATGCTCTCAGGCCATCTTCATTTGAGCTCGTCGGCGGGAGGGTGCCTCCAATAGCGGGTGCGCGGAGTACAAAAACGGCCGCGGAGGAGTAGACATGGGAAACGTTCTGACTTACGAGGAGCTGATGAGAAAAGGTGTGATGGTGTGTTTTGTTTATTGAGGAGGGGAGGCTTGAGGGTGCCGGTAAGTTGTTGGGAGATGATCAACTTGGAGGGGCATGGCGGGGCAGCAGCTGCGAACAGCATCATTGGCTGCAGCCTTCTCTCACGTAAAAGCGTGCAACAACAGGGTGGCAGGACAAGCTCTTGGGGTGGGAATCGGGGCGAAATCTCACACTCGCAGATGTCAGACACTGTTTGATTGCGTCAATGCGGCCGACGATAACCTACTTTGATGAGAGAGCCGATCATGGTGTTGTGGTTTGGGTTTAGACGGATGTCCGCTCGCCGATGAGGTCAATCTAGTCACCTTTTCCTGCTACAGTCGTACATGAGTGCAGAGTCTGGATCAGATTGTATCTGTGGGAGAGGGGCTGGCCAATTGCTTCGTATTCAATCTTCCTTCTGCTACATACTTATTGGTAGAAGACGGAAAGTGAACGCTGGCACGGTGCGTTGGAGGTGAGGTAGGGGAAGAGACTGTCAATATCTGGGTAAAAGCGGAAATACGAGAAGCTTGGTTCAGAAGTGTCTATAAAGCTGGAGGATAGGGTGGATGCGATACATTCTCAACATAGCAAAAGGCCTGAGGCTCAATGTCGAGTTCGATGTTGCTGTTGCTGTTGCTGTAGCTGTCGCTATCAATCCCGAGATCTACTGTACGCCAGAAGCGCCAAGCCAAGGCAGCCCAGAGTCCGAGCTCCTGGAATTGCCGCGTCGCTGTGAGCTGCCTTCGCGTCCTCCAACAGGACCTGGTCACCAGTTATCTAGCAAGTACAGCTTTTGAACCTCTTTTCTCGAGAACTTCGTCTTTCAAGGACAGCCTAGATACCTGCTGTCGCTATACTGTGAATTAGCTCTTCGTCGATTCTACAGCTTGGCTGAGAAGAAACACCTCCATATACATTTCCACCGTACATAACCGTCATTATGTAGGTTATACGAAGCCCCATGGCACTACCTATACTGACTATTGACCAGGGAGGTTCTACTAGGAATCACGGGAAAGGACTTCACCCTCGTCGCCTGCTCAAAAGCCGCCATGCGAGGCGCCACCATCCTCAAGGCCTCTGACGACAAGACCCGGGTGCTCAACACACATACCCTGATGGCATTCTCGGGTGAAGCAGGAGATACTGGTATGGCCAATATGCAGATGCTTATTGTGCAGGAATTAGAAGATGACTAATAACAGCATAGTCCAGTTTGCTGAATACATTCAGGCAAACGTTCAGCTGTACTCGATGCGCAACGATATGGAGCTTTCACCTGCCGCTACCGCCAACTTCGTCCGAGGCGAGCTAGCGAGAGCGCTACGTTCAAGAAAGCCATACACTGTGAACCTACTCCTTGGAGGCTACGACACGATCAAGGACAAGCCTACCCTATACTGGATTGATTACTTGGCGAGTCAGGCTGCGCTCCCATATGCGGCACATGGATATGCACAGTGCGTTTTCCCGTGCTATGTGTTATTGTAGCGAACAGCTTGTAATGTACCTCTGCTGACCTATGATTTTCCAGGTACTACTGCCTCTCACTGCTTGATAAGCACCACCACCCAGATATCGACTATGAGCAGGGTATCAAGATCCTACGGATGTGTACAGAGGAGCTGAAGCGACGTCTGCCCATCGACTTCAAGGGCGTCTTCGTTAAGGTCATAACCAAGAATGGAATCAAGGACGTGGACTATGAGGACGATGTCAAGGTTGCGATACCTTGATTTTGGGCAAAGGATTCGGGAGAGACAGATTAGAGGCTAGGTCGAGTGACAACTGTGTACAGACACTGTCTGTCCACAAATGGATATGACGACGGCGCTCGATGAGCAAGGACCCCGATGACGAATCTTGGATCATGAGAGACATGCATATAGGTAACGACCATCAAAAGAATAACCCCGAAGAGAATAGTTAGCAGCCGTGATCCGGTTGCACTGGAGACTTCACAATGCACGACTGATCTGGCCAATGCATTTATGAACATGTATGTGCTCACACTTTTTGCGAATGAACGCTGGGAGACAGACAGCTTGAAAGTGGCTGGTCGTCGCGCACGGCCACTGGAGCCACACCCCGCCCGCGTGGACTCCCGGGCCCGAGGTCGCTTACGTCAGCACAGGCTTGGCACGCCACATAAAACCCTGCGCATCCTCGTCCTCCCTTTCTGCTCTTCGATCAAAAAAATACAAACGGATCCAGCCACGTCCATTTCGCAGATGTCAATTGCTCATGGATGCCAGTCACTACGGTGGCGTGGAAACCGAAGAAAAAACCACCAACTCCTGTAGGAAGCTGTTGTCTCGTTGGGTCGTCTTCAGTGATGGCGATGGGACACCGGTGTCGAAATATTGGGCGTACAAAATCTTCTCGTGTGTGCATGTGCTTTGCTTGTGTCTGTTCTTCCTGCTCCCTGAACCTGGCAGGTGTGGACTTTATCATCGTCATGTCTGTCAGGCCGTGGAATGCAAACCCATGCAGAGTCCATCAAAGTCCATATCCTGCAGTTTCTGCAAAGATAAGACGGAAGCTTGGACCCTTCTCGCCTTTATATCACATCACGAAGAGCCAGCCAAGCCAGATCGGCCAACACACACTCACAAAGACCTAGAACATGGCCATGGAATGGGAGAGCATGAATGTCAGGGTATGAATGTGAGAGCATGCAATGCAGTGGGCAGAGTAAGTCAATCGTAAATATGTGATTGGCTACAGCTGACATTGGTCATTGATCAAGCTGCATTGGCAAACTACAAAAGACCTGGTAGACTTATGTCGCCTTTTGATGAATGAAGTTTTACCATTCACTCTAACACCCAATCGCAACGAGCACTTGCCTGTTCGGACTTATTCGTGCTACGTCTCTCTACTAGTTCTTGTGGCCATTGGCGTAGCCGTTAGCGGCCAAACCATCCTGCAGCTGCTGTGGGACGCCATTGTTGGTGGGCTTGCCCTCGGCCGCGCCGTTGACTTTTCCGTTCGATAGGCCGTTCATGACCTTCTTTGAGTCTTTCATGGCCTCTTCAACAGTCCCGTTTTCAGTGTAACCTGTGTCACTGGCATCGACAAAGGCGTCGATACCGGCACCCTGGCGAGGGTACTCCTTCATTAGCTCCTTGTGTCGTCGCAGTGCCTTGTTCATCTCCTCGGACGACACGTCGTTCAGGAAGATGCAGGTACCAATGGGATTGGGGACGGCAGCCCGGAGCAGACCGTCACGGGTCTTGAGAATGGCCTTGGTCGCCTTTTCAAGCATGTCCTCATCGAACAGTTCGTGGTCCATGGACAGACCTGCCCTGGAGAAGAGGTTCAACAGCCGGCGGTGCTCCTCATCACTGAGCAGCTTGCGCTCGTTGGCAAGTGTGGCGGAGTATGCCATGTCAATCGAGATGGCGTGGCCGTGACGGAGCGGGGTCTCTGGTGACAACTAGAGTCTATTAGGTACGATATGACCGCTTCTACGGGGCAAAGACATACCTCGTGCAGCGGACTCCAGGTGTGGCCGTAAGCGATGACACGGTCAAGACCAATCTCGTGCAGATTGGGTGTCTCGAGCTTCAACATCTCGTGAATACCAGCGCGGTTGATCTCGTCGGCAGCCTTGAGCACTTCTTCGTTGTTGCCCTCACGACCAAAACGAGTTGTGATGAGCTGCTCGCAGTACTTGTCCAACAAATCAAATGTAGGCTTGTGTGCGCATGTGGAGATTTTGATCAACTCGGCAAAGCCATTTCGGACTTGGCCTTCTGGAAGTGTCTTCAGGAATGTGAAGTCCAAGAAGGTGTGCATGGGGGCGTGGTAAGCGCCCAGACGGTTCTTGTAGTTACCATAGTTGACGGCGACCTTAATACTGACACTGGCATCGATCAGGCCAATGACGGTAGTGGGAATGCGGATGAAGTTGGTGTTTCTTCGGTATGCAGCACATGCGAATCTATAGTCTCTGGTTAATTCTGATCAAGATTGGGTTTCAGGCCAGAGTGCCTCAAGATAAGTTTTACCCAGCAACATCAGTCACGAGACCTCCGCCCTGGAAAAAATCAGCATTGGCCGTACACGGACTGAGGAGGCTACTTACGACCACAAGGACAGGCTCTTTGCGGATGATACCAAAGTCGGTCATCGAGTCAACAATGCTCAAAAGAGTGTCCATTGACTTGGCCTTCTCGCCAATTCTGGTCTTGTGGATGGTCAAGGGCAGTCTGTAGTGGTCAAAGTAATTTTGCATTTCATCGCCATAGACGTTGAAGATGTTCAAGTCCATGACAGCCAGGCAGCGGCCCCATCGCTCGTAGCATTTAGCAAGCTCAGGGTTGGCAGTGTTGAACACACCGTCAAGGAATGTGAACTCATACTCGATCTTCTCGTACCCCTCGACGTGGAAGCCATTCTTGGTCTCAGCAACGGTAGCTTTGAGGTCTGACATGTTGGGAAAACGGGTATGTGTGATTGAGAAACGTTGAGTGTCTACCGATGGAGAGGATGGGTGCTCTCACTGTTATATAAAGGGCCGACGAAAACAGGTCGATGACAACTAATGTACAGTCCCAGGTCCACGGTCTCGCTCAATTGGCTCCCATAAGCCGAAGACGCCCAGAAGAAAACGTCAAGTATACGCACGATGTCTCTTCATGATGCCACAGCCCAAGGATTCCCTGTTGCTTGTCTTGGAACCACTTTACTGCTACATTACTAGACTCTTAGCAGCCGACCATGATGAAATGACTTTCAGGCCAGGCCCCTCGTAGCGGTGAAGTTCGGTTCCGGCACATGGGAAACGCGAATACACATGCAAACATGGATGCCTGCCCGCTTGGACAAAGTAGAAACTATTGGGATCGCATTCGGCCAGGGACAGGAACGGCGTAGTGTTGGCCACTAGCCACTAGCCATTAGCCGGAGTACTTCCCGGTGTGGAGAGATTCACGACAATGGCGGGGCGACTATCAAAGTTACCAGGTCATATTGGCCTCTACTCTTGACATGTTGAGACCCTCTTGTGAAAGGATAGATCGATTTGCCCCTCCACATGCACATATTGTCCCCAGAGTGTTGGGGAATTCTACATTCCAATAGTGCTGAGTATACTTGGGGTCACAGCTGTGGCCGTACCGCCCCCACGTACCTCAGGAACAGATTTTCATCAGTGACGTTGTGTAAGATCTCAACGATCCTAGCTCCCGCTCGGGTAGATAGAGTTTGGCTGATCCTGTATCATTGTGGTATATTTGCTGGCCGATTTCGATGCGCACAATCCCATCCTGTCGTTCACTTGCCACTAGCGGTTAGTCAAAACGGCAGGGCTCTGGATCATTGACGACAGGCACGTACATTCATCCAGCGTGGGAGATCAACGTAGTACAAAGCCCAAATGCACCAATGGATTGCCCCACATGGTCATCAAGTATACGCCTACCACCGTTCAGTCCACACCCTAATCAGTCTGGGCGGACTGCAGACTGCACGGCACGGCACTGGGACTTGGAAACGACGGGCCCAGCTCTGCAGATATGTCGAAATCCCACGGCTCAGTTAACGAGTTCCTGCATGCAATGGTCGCACAGAATGTACGATTGCTAATGAGTTTCATAAGGAAGAATTGAGAACTATGGTGTATTCACGGCTCAGCCACTTGCGTAGGCGAGCCCTGCCGCGTTGATCAGACTACATACAGAGCATCCCTTGCATACCCTTCCTGTAACAAATTCGTCATCATTCATCGTAGCCCCGCACTAAAGGCCACGCGTTGAGGGGTTAGCGGAATAGTAGCTTGGACGCGTCGAGCTCACGGCCATCTGCAACTTTATTGTTTTTGAGAAAGAGAGATCAATTGAGCAGCAACGACGATGGGTAGCTTCGATCAGAGCAAGGCATACGCTGCCCAGGAACAAGAAGGCACGTTCTTCGATGACGGCCGAGAAATCGACCTCCTGCATTTTGTGTACGGTCATGCGGACATCGACAATATACGAGGCTCGCCTGAAAAAGTACTGGCTGCCATTGATGAGTTTGGGCGGACGAAGAAGTACCTCATGAATGTAGGAGAGGACAAGGGCCGGATCGTGACAGATTTGATCGCGGAAGTCAGGCCAAATACAATGGCAAGTCATAGAGTACAAAAACACTTGGACCCGCTCAAGCTAACAACCACGATCAGGTCGAACTCGGCGGTTACGTTGGGTATTCGTGTATCCTATTTGGCAATGCAGTACGGAAAGCTGGAGGCGAGAGATACTTTAGTCTGGAGCGTGATCCAGCTTTCGCGGCAGTCATCATGTCTCTTGTTGATCTTGCCGGTCTTTCAGACGTCGTGAAAGTCATCATAGGCTCCAGCGATACATCAATCGCGCGGCTGACATCTTCCGGCCAGTTGAAACATGTTGATCTCATGTTCCTGGACCACTACAAGCCTGCGTACACAACTGACCTGAAGCTCTGCGAAGAGCTCGGCTTGATCACAAAGGGCTCCGTCCTGGCAGCGGACAACGTCATCAAGCCTGGAAACCCACCCTACCTCAAATATGTACGGTCTAGTGTTGAGGAGAAGGTCAAAGAGGCTGGACAAGGGAGCGCCACCAAACTTGATGGCATTGCTGAGACAAACGTCAAGATGTACGAGCAAAGATATGGCAAAGCCAAATTCAGCGATAGCAAGGGCAACCCGAATCTCAGGTATGACAGCAAGCTCGTCAATAGCTACGAGCCGACTGGTGAACCTGTACGTTTTTTGACAGAGCGTTTTAAATCTTCTGCTAAACATTTATAGGATGGTATTGAGATTACACGATGCATCGGATAGAAGGAGTCGAGCTGGCATTGTACTCACACGAGGTGTCGGATAGATTCTAGAAAGAGTGGAACATACACGGCGGATACGCCTTGAAACACTCTTTCGTACACGTGGAAGTGGATTTCGGGGCTACTCCTACAGACGCACATGACAAAAAAACGTGGTGTCAGTACGTGATCAGAGCGTGTCTAGATTTAAGATCATCCCAAAAGAAGAGAGCTGCTATAAGCAGACTCTCCACTACATCCACAGACTATAGTCGTGCATCGACATTTTTCGTGCAACTTTGAAGACTCCATTTATCGTACCTCAATGCAAACAACGGTTTTTCCGTGGGTCCTGTCAAACAAACAGGTGAAGCCACTTGACATGGCAACCCGCCTAAAGCACCACGTCCACATGCAGCTCGCCACCGCATTGCTCCTCCACACCCACCCACTGATCATAGCCAAGAATCCGTCCCAACAGACCCTTTTTATGTAGTAGCGTCCACTCCGTTACCAAGGATACGCATGCAAGAAATGCTGGCGCACCTGGATTGGAGCAACGATGACGTTGAGACGAAAACCTGCATTCCGATGCCTGAGCAGCTAGCGATGGGGAAACGCAACCGTTCGCCTAGTCAAGCGGGGCGATCTGGGATGCATTGTCCGCGCGACTACCCAGCCGTCCCAGTCGATACTGGCTTCTTGCCCCGTTGCGTGCTTTATAGAATACTTTACCTTTTTCTCATTGATGAGCTAAGTGATAGGAAAGCGTGAAGAAGCCGCTCGAGTGGTGCGAGACAGATAGTCCCGACTCCCGAAGTCACGTTTCGCCTCTCTCAACAACAAATATCAGCAACAACGATACTCGGATGATAGAAGGGATGAAGGAAGTAGGGAGTAAGGTGCCGTTCTACTATCAACACTTCTGGAAGAACGTCTTGTTACTAGCCTTGAGTGTATTCTGCGCTCCCCTTTCGGCTGCGGTCTGCCTGATCAGCGTTGCCGCCACCAAGCTTCACGGCCAGCGTAACATCACCTTCTCAAAGGAAGATAAGCAGCATGGCGCAGCTGTCCAGCAAAGAAAGACTATCCTCGTGACTGGGGTATCCATGACAAAGGGTCTGGCAATTGCACGAAATCTCTCTCAACATACACCTCACCGCATCATTGGCGCTGATGTCTCGGCCTTGTCACCAGGACGCTTCTCCAACGCTATTGTGAAGTACCATCGTCTGGATAGCCCAAGTGGCGATGACGTCGAACCATATATCGACTCTATACTCGACGTGATTCATAGCGAAAAGGTCAATTTATGGATCTCATGCTCGAGTGTTGTAGCAGCCGTGGAGGACGGACAGGTTGTACGGCTCGCCGAGAAACAAGCAAAGAGTGAGGGACGACGATTCGAAGCCATTCAGTTCCGCGAAGATGTTGTGGAGAAGCTCCACGAAAAGGACAAGTTCATCGAGTACATTGACTCGCTACGGCTCCCGGTCCCAGAGTCCCACCGCTGTACCAACCCACAGGAAGCCCTCGACGTACTGATGCGCGAACTGCATCGAACACCTACCAAACCCAATTCAACATCATCCGCAAGGAAGAGCAGTTCAGCGCTGAGAAAGCAGTTCATCATGAAACCCATTGGTGTAGATGACAAGGCGAGAAACAACATGATGAAACTTCTCCCATTTCCAAGCACCGAAGCAACAACAAAGTACATTCGATCTCTCGGCATCTCCGAGGCAAACCCCTTCCAAATGCAGCAGTTCATCCAGGGCAAGGAATACTGCACGCACGCGCTCGTCATCAGAGGTAAAGTCGCTGCCTTCACCAGCTGCCCGTCCCTAGAACTACTCATGCATTACGAGCCGCTCCCCACGCACTCAGAACTCAGTAAAGCGATGCTCCACTTCACCCAGCGCGTATGTGCAGACGGCGGAGAGAAATTCACAGGACATGTCAGTTTCGACTTTCTCGTCCAAAACGATCAAGATGTGAAACTGTACCCTATTGAGTGTAATCCGCGTGCGCACACCGCAGTTGTTTTATTCGAGCAGACTGCCGAAATGGCAGATGCCTATCTTTCCCTCTTCAATGACGCCTCATCTTCATTGCCGCAAAAGTCATCGCCACCCATCATCTTCCCGAGAACGCCAACACACAGCTACTACTGGCTTGGCCACGATATCGTCACCTTAGGCATCCTGCCCATCTTGGATACGTTGTTTCACCAGGGATCTTGCGAAGATGTCATTACGGGGCTGATGGCTTTGTGGCGCCATTGGATCTATTGGAAAGACGGCACGTTTAAGCTGGAAGACCCTTGGCCATTCTTTGCGCTGTATCACGTTTACTGGCCCGTGAGGTTTTTAGAGTCGCTGGTGAGGGGGCGGAAGTGGAGTCGGTATGTCTTTACTATTCTTTTGTTGTTGGTTTAGTTAAAACGTGTTCTATACTAATACACATGCTAGGATTAATCTTAGTACAACAAAGATGTTCTTAGATTAGAACAATAAGCTTATATTATTCTTTAATCTAAGAACTACAGATAGCCATAGGAATTAATTTGTTTAACCTCTAGATAGACAAGTACTTCTATATATTAGGACACGGTGTCTATTCCCACTACGCTAAATAACTAAAAAGGTGCGTATAATCTATAAATATAGATTATCCACAAATAGAATAGTATATATAGGCGCAGGGCACACTATACCCTATAGTCCTACTATGCGCGCACATGGGCTAACAATTATCCCCCTTCTTTGAAGGGCCTGTCCTTAGGCACTAGGCACTTACAAGACAGTGGGATAACCTATACTAGACCTCCCTTAGCCAAGCTTGTGCTAAGTTAATTCTATCCTAATTAGCCCTTACTAGGATATAATTGTAACAATAGGGCAAAATTGTTCGCCTATTGTTACATGCCAAGTTAACAGTAATAACAGCCTAACTTATAGATATATATAGAGAGTAGCTTGCCTATATTAGAATAGGTATATTCTTCTTATCCTTTTATATAAGACCTATAGGAGCTAAGGCGCTTGCTATCTAGGTAATAAGATGTAGTTAGGTAAGCATTAAATACAGCTTAGGCGCTAGGTAACTCTCTAACGCCTTAATGTCGCTAGCCTGCATTATAGTTAAGAGGTTAAGTTTATATTAGTTAATTTACTATCTTACTATTAGCTATAGGTAATAGGGATAAGGCCTAGGTTTCCCTATAGGTAACAAGAATACTTATAATAAGGCACTATGCGGCATATATATTAGTTTTCCTAATACTAACTTTATTAGTATAGATAATACCCTAAGGCACTCCCTTTTTAGACTTTGCAAGCGCGTTTAGGTTATT